CCCCCCCCCCCCCGATTGATTTCTTAGCAAAAAACAACAAATAAAAAAACTTTGAAATAGCGCAAATCCTGTCCCAAGCGCATTGAGCAATGGTTTATGTGAGAAAACATTGTGTTTTACCTGAGAAAAGCACATCCCATGCCATTTTGGAAACACGACCATGCACATTAATATTCATATGATATTATTGATAAAATGGTATTTTCTTTGTGTGTTCGTAAAGTAAAATGTAAATATTCAACTACAAGAAGAATGTTGAAATACAATACAATATCACTAAGTATTCAAAATGTTTCTCTTATAAATGTTACATACACTATATATGCGCTTTCAAAAACTTTCAGTTTGTTTTCTAATGTCATACTCATATTACTAATATTACCGATATTTTCAAAGTCAAAGGCCGGCACAACTTGTTGAAACACTTAACATATATTTATTTTAAATTGTTTAAATTGCTATAAAATATTTAAAAACTTCTCAGGAAACTATTGTTGCAAATGAACATGATGATTTAAATATAAAATATTTTTAATTAAAATGGGATGAAAAAAAACTCGATCCCCTACTGGGAATTGAGCTCAAAATATAATGTCGTCAAGCGTGCACTCTACCACTTGACTACACAAGATCTTATCCAAAAGGCTTTTCTTAAAACCAGGCCAATGGTAAATTTTTGCCGCAGTGTACCCTGGCCAAAGCCCACGATTTCGCTGGGTACACTGCCGCGTTTTATGCAGGCCAAAGTCGATGGTTTTGATAGGTACACTGCCGCGGTGTACGCATTCACTTCGTTTTATGAATGAGACAGATGGGAGGCTTAGTACAGATCAGATCAGATATGGATTGAATCTATGCCATAGTACTAGTACTCAGATCCGTTGGGATGGGCTGAATGGGATTGGGTCCATGAAGAAATTTTTTTCCATCCAAATGACATAGCCATACACAGAATGTTGAAAATACAAGGAATAGACAGTTTGGCATAAGCCATGTATTTGGCAAGAATTTATCAAACGAAGTGTCTACAAGCCCGGCGCGCCGGCCAAATTGTGCGCGTGATATATGTCCGGCGGGGATGTCACGTAACCGCCGGACGACTAGTAGTAATTATTATTCCGAAGGAAGTATCTATTAAGATCTTGTGTGGTCTTGTGGTAGAGTGGCCGCTTGACGATATTATATTTGTGGATCAACTCCCAGTATGGAGAACTTTTTTTCCCCCCATTTTAATTAAAAATATTTTATATTATATTTATATTATCATGTTCATCAGCAACAGTAGTTTTATGAGAAGTTTTAAAATATTTTGTAACAATTTAAAATTACATCTTTTACTTTTATTGGTTGGCTACTCCATACTGAATACTGGCCCCTAATTTATTTTATGGATTACTGGTACAAACTCAATTAACTGAACAAAAATGTTTACAAGCCACTTTCACTTGAATTTTTTTCTATTATTTGCATGCAAGGTACTCGGTACATTACTTGGTAGAGAAATAGATTTAAAATTAACATTAGTTTTGAATCATTCGCGGTCATGTGACAAGGCTGTTGGACAAAGTATCTCTCACCACTTTGTTACGGTGTTCATGTGACTTGATCACCGGATGAATATCTCGATAAAGTATTCTTCCAGCGGTCATGTGACTTGGTTGCCGGACAAATAGTGCGGGAGATATACGTCCGGACGTGTAGACACTGCCTTTATCAAAAGATTAACCGCTCAAACTGCAATTCAAATCGGAACAGGGCTATTTGTTACCAGAGCTCAAGTGGTGAATTACATGGATCAGATGATGATACAGTGAATTAAAAGAAAAATAAATTATTCAGATTAAAACAATACATTTTTAAAAGAAACCCTATAGGCACTATGGGTATGTTTTAATTAGCCCTACTTAACTTACTGGAATCAAGCTTAGAAAAAACAAACATGCGTTTGGAACCAACCCAAATTAAACATTCTCCCCTAGA